CTGACAAATATTTCCAAATCTATCAGGGTTTAAAGATTTGCAATTTTTTTGATGTCTTTAGATACGGCGCACCATAGAATCTGCAGAAAATCTTGATCCAACTAATGATGATATAATATATATATTTCAATGCCTTTTGAACACATAAGAACCTTTATTGGATGATTAAACATAAGAAACTTCATGATATTTACATTTCAACAGTGTGAATTCTATTTGATATAAAAAAAATCATAGACCATTATCTGAAAGAGACATTGATATTAAAATTTTAAAACCATTTCTTGATAATATTGAAGATCTAAATAAACCTGGATTACATTATCATTAGTTAATATCATTTATCTATTATCTTTTAAAATTTTTGTATTCAGTTAAATTTATCATTTTTTCTATTTTAATCATTACAAGTGGGGAATGTGAATCATTTGCTTCACGTCTAAGATGAAAGGTTGTCATTGAAGGTTCTTATGGGAAGAAAGTGGATTATTTATTCACAGATGTTAGTATTATTATTTTTTCTTATTAAAAAGCAAATGAAAATACTAACATTTATTATTATATTAAATTTAGAATACAACTTGTACAATAAGCAGTAGTCGTTTTGGTCTTGAATATGGTGCAGCTGAAAATTCAGGACCAAGTTCAAATTCTAGCACTGATAAAGCAAAAGGCGATTCAATTAAACTGATAAAGCTTTTAAGAGACCAGCATGATGCATTATTGGCAGATCTTCAGAAACAGGGACAGTGGGTAATTGATGAAGAAGTCTGGGAATCATGGGCTGATGTTTTTGTACCTGGCTTTCAGGTAGTTGGGAATACAGTGTTGTGAGATTGTAAATCGTGGACCAACCAATTGACCGTTAATATTGACCAATTAGGACGAACTTACTACGGAAGTCATGTGATGCTCTGAATATTACAATCATCTTTCTATATTTATTGCAACGGTTGCACGTCATGTTACACATGTAGATCATTACATCATTTCTATTTTTAACTTATTTTATGACATAATTATTTACTTCGAATTATTAATC